GGGCTAGCGGCGGCGGCGCGTTGTAGTGGCGTGTGGCCGCCCTGGCCTGCGGAGGCGAGGGTTCCGGGATTTCCTGGGGCCGCGTGATGTGTTTTCAGTGTTTTCAGCCTATTCAAGTCTTTCCTTTCCACTCTTTTCTGAATATTGGCCTACTGGGGTGTAAAAGTCCAGGCACAGAGTTGACGTGACGGGGCCTTTTAGCCAAAAAGCGCCAGGGGCTGCACATGCCAGAAGTAACTTGTCAAAACTCAGATCACGTTACCCCTTAAGTCAACTTAAATGTAGTGCAATCGCAGAAGGGCATAGTCTCTGGGGTCAAGACTGTCTGGGCTCAGAGTTCAGCACTGCCACTTTACAGCTATGGGACACAGGCAAATACATGATCTCCTCGAGCGGCGGTTTTCTCATCTGTAAAGGGTGCGCTGGTGGTGTGAGAATAAATGAACTGATACATGGCGAGTGTCTGGAACAGGACTTGGTGCAAAGTAAACACTCAATATCTTGTTATCATACAGAACCTTAGGTGTCCGTCGTCGTCGTCCCCCCCCCCCGCCCCCGCCCAGGAAATCTTATGTGGTAACCTTAGGAAACAGGGCTGCTCTGGTTGAGGGTGGGCCCAGAAGCTTTGAGTTCTCAATTCCAAAGGTGGTCCATAAGGTTCCTCTAATGGAATCCCCAAGCTTCCTGAAATATAGGCAACAACTATTATCGGAGAAAGTCCAAACTTCTCAGAAAGACAAACTGCCGTTTTCTAATTTTTCTCCTGATGCTCCGAACAACTTTCACTCCTGCATACACAGTACTCCTTTTTGCCTCCGTGTTTTTTCTAGCTATTCTGTCTATCGGGAATGTTCTCTTTCTCCTTTTCTTATTTATCACTTAAGATCTGATTCAAATTACAACTCTTTCTTGGGTGACTAAATAAGGAATTCTATTTTCATTGTAACCCCTCCCACCTTCAGCGTGGTGTAGACATCTCAGCAAGGATTGAAAGTTATTTTCTCCCTTGTTTTAGGAGAGTAGACAAGGTCTTTTGTGGTTATAGGGTTAAAGAAATGCTTTGTTGTCATGGTGGGGAAAGGAAAAGCAGGTAGATCCCCGAGGATACTGGGAGGAGGGACCAAGGTAGAGCTGTGAACAAGACCTTTGAGAGGAGCCTGATGCCCTCCAGGGCACTGCTCTGTGACCCAGATGCAATGGACTGCTGGAGGTTAAGTGCTTTAGGGTCCATCTAAGGAAGTGGAGGGCACATCAACCAATGGAGTTTTGGAATCCTCATCAGGTCAGAGGGCTCAGGCAGATTTGAGTTAGTCAACTAAAACTTGTGCTATTACCTGCTCCCAAAATGGCATGAAGCAATTCCCACCTGTTACAGAGAACAACAGAAATTACTCATATAGAAATATGTTCTGAAACGTTTAAAAATAGTCCTTCATTTATTTAAGGACAATATGATGAAAATTTAACAATGGCTTAAAAAACATCGAAAGAAACGTCGGATACTTTTTCTTGTAAAAAACTAATAGTAACTTAGAAATAATTAAATTGGTTATATTAGCAACAATGCCATTGAAAGCAAAAAACTTCTGAGGAACAAGGAGAATCTTATTCATGACAGCATTTGTCAGTAAATTTAATACGATGAAAGCAGTTTTAAAAATATCTTTTTTTTTAATCTCTCTCCTGAGTTTACTACCCTTTTTTTTTTCTTTAATTTAATTTTATTTTTTTGTGTGTGAGGAAGATCAGCCCTGAGCTAACGTCCACGCCAATCCTCCTCTTTTTGCTGAGGAAGACCGGCTCTGAGCTAACATCTATTGCCAATCCTCCTCCTTTTTTCCCTCAAAGCCCCAGTAGATAGTTGTATGTCATAGCTGCACATCCTTCTAGTTGCTGTATGTGGGACGCCGCCTCAGCATGGCCGAAGTGGTGCATCGGTGCGTGCCAGGGATCTGAACCCCAGCCGCCAGTAGCAGAGTGTGCGCACTTAACCGCTAAGCCATGGGGCCGGCCCCTAAAAATATCTTCTAGATAAATGGTTCTGCACTTCTGAAAGCAATTCAATAAAAATAGAAATTTGGCCAATGATCTATTTGGTATGAATTAAGCGCCAATTTTCTCTTCCAGTCTTACCTCTCACTAATTCCCTTTATCAACCTTCAGTGTCAATCATTTATCATACCTTATATTATACTTCACTGTTTTCAAACTTTGCTAATATGCTGGTCCTCCGCCTAGTTGTTCCTTTCTTCACCTTACTCCCTAATATTAACCTATCAATCCAAATCATATCCACTCTTGAAGGTCCAATTCAAGTTATCACCTCCTTTAAGAAGTTCTCCTCACCGAAAAGATTTCTGAATAATTCATTTGGATTACAGCTATTTGTACATGTCTTATTTCCTTGTAAGGTTCTTGAAGGCAAGTATCGTGTCTTATTCATATTTGTATTCCCTACAGTGTCAATCTCCCACTAGAATTCAAGTTGCATCAAACAGAGCCCTTGAATATCTTGTTCATCGCTGTATTCCGCAGCACCAACCATACTGCCTGGCACATAGCAGGCATGTTATATTTTGAGTGAGTGAATGAATGGGTTTTAAAACATAAGCTCCATGAAGGCAGGGATTTGTCTGTTTTAGTCATTGCAAAATGAATATTTGAATATTACCAGATGAATAAATGATTTTTTGGAAACCTTAGCGTTCACTATATACAATAAAAATTCTTCAATCTATATATTTTCAGGGAAGTCAAATATAAAGTATTTATGTTTTTGCCTTTCACCCAACTAATTCAGTGGATGATATATCTTTCTGAAAACAAGACACATCCCAAAACTGCAAGAGTAAAATTTAAAAGAATCAAAATAAAATGGGTGTTTACATTAAGAGTAGTTTCAGTTTTCTTCCTTGTACTTTTCTGTGTTCTAAATTTTCTGCAATGGAAATATATTATTTTGTAATCAGAAAAAAATAATCAATAGTACTTTTAAAGAATGTAATGGATGAGATCATTTGCAAATGTATGGCTAAGGAAATTTTGAGGACACTCAAGCCTAATCGAGGTTATTTGGAGTTAATACTAGAAAGAAAAACACTGGAATGTGAAAATAACTTAAAGAGCTGAAACCTAATCAGTCTGCCAAAAAGAAAAGAGCTTCTTAGAGGGGAGATGGATAGCAATGACCCCAGAAAAAAAAAGAGCACTGAAGAACAAGAATTTACTGTTTGTTTAGCACCATCCTTGGAAGTTTGACACCCCTGCTGTGGACTGAATTGTGTCCCCGCAAATTCAAATGTTGAAGCCCTAACCCCCAATGTGATGGTATTTGGAAGGGTGGGGCCTTTGGGAAGCAATTAGGTTTAGATGAGGTCCTGAATGGGGGGCTTTCATGATGGGATTAGTGCCCTTACAAGAAGTGACACCAGAGAGCTTCCATGCTCTCCTCCAGCCCCGTCTCTTTCCCCACCATGTGAGGACACAGCAAGAAGGAGGCTGTTGGGAAGCCAGGAAGAGAGCCCTCATCAGAGCCTGACCATGCTGGCACCCTCACGTTGGACTTCCACCCTCCAGAACTATGAGAAAATAAATGTCTGTTGTTCAAGCCACTCAGTCTGTGGTATTTTGTTGTAGTAGCCATGCAGACTATGACAGACTAAGCAGTCTGAGATCTGAGCTCGTACGTGGCAGGTGGTTTTCCTATACTGGAAGACGATCTCCGCACTGATTCAGTCAATAAACATTTGTTAAATGCCTACTGTGTTCCATGCCCTGTGCAAAGTGCTGAGGATTCAAAGGTGACCAAGACAAGGCTCCCACCTCTAAGGGGCTGATTTAATGGGAGACAAACATGCAAACAAATTGAAAAAAGGGTTATAAGTGCTCTGACAGAAGTATGTGCAGGGCACATACACCCTTCTTTCAGGCACCCAGGGGTTAGAGTAATTGTTTCTATCTGTGGTTGGGGTGGGGTAAGTCTGGTTGGTCCGAGTCAACACTCTGCATCCAAAGTTAACTCTGAGTTCACCAAGTAAGTGAAGAGCTGTGACTCACGATGTGGTGACAAACCCAAGACTTCACACAGTGAGCCCTGCAGAGGCCAATACCGACAGAGAGTCACAGAAATTCAGATGGTGGCTGTCCACCGAGGAGAGGGAGGAGAGAACTTGCTGCGTGCTTGGCAAAATGGAATGGGCTATTGGCAGGGGCTTACTGGGCTCTTCAACTATTTATACATGCTGAATTTCCATTTCTAATTCTTCTTTGGGCTCTTGGATATTTATAAAAACATTCTCCTTTACTTATACTAACTGTATTTTGTATAAATTAATAAGTATTCAAAGCCTGGTACCTGAAGAAAAACTACTGGTGAACATGGAAACTAGCACTCACTGTGGCAGCCTTTGGCCTCACGTTGCCCTGTGCCGTCTAAGTCCTAATCATCCCCTATGTCCCAGCCGAGGTCCTGCTCTCTCTGGAAGCTGTGCCTAAACTGTACCTTACCTCCCCCGATTAGTGGGGGCTCCTGCTATGAGCTCCCTAGCACTCCTGTACTTCCTGCATCATAGCACTTATCACACTGCTTTTCAAGCTCTTGTTTAATTGTCTGTCTCCTCTATCAGATCCTTAAAGACAGTCTTAATAATGTGCCTGGGTCACCAAAGACTTTCAGTAAGTATTTGTTGAATGAATCTAGTTTCAGAGCCTGTGAAAGGCTCTGAAGGACCAGATGAGCATTAAGTTTACGGTGCTACCACCAAGGTGCACCTAACCAATGAAGTTCAGTTTGAAAGATCCATCTGAACTTTGGTATAAATTAATCCAGTCCCAATTGAGAACATAAACACTAAGGGAATACAATACCACAGAGTAACCAGAGTCAGGCTGCCATAAAATATGCATGCCTTAACAGGCTTCAAATTATGTTAGCTTAATAAAAGTTAAGCTAGTTTTGAACAGAGATGAAAGTCATGGTGGAAGGGGTTGGAATGGTAGTCTAATGACGAGAGAGGAGTGGACAGGCTATATGCAGATCAGCTTGGTGGGATCAGAATATTCTAATCCATCCATTTAATACATATCTAATATCTACTTCAAGATTAGATTGAACTCTGAATTCTAGGTTAAAGAGTTTAGATGGGAAGTAACAAATAAGTAATAAATGCTTCAGGTATACAACATGATAAGAGCTGTACACGGTATTTGAACATGACTATTCTAGCAACTAGGCAGGAGTTGACCTAGAGTAAAGAGAACTTATGGGTGATACACAAAAGCAGAGACGGTCTGTTGAATAAGTGGGATAAAGCGTGACCTATGCAGACAAGCCTTTCTTCTGTCTTCTCTCCTGGCAAGTCACAATGTCTGAAACTCCTGCCACAGAAGTCAGTCTTTTGATTAAAGGTACCATCTTTAGAAAGCCCTGTTAACATGCAAGAATATGCTAAGTGATGGCAATACCCAACACAATGGTACTTCTGACTTTTAAATCTGATCTTCCCATCCTTCTAGGAATGTGAACACTCATTGACAGATGACAATTTTCAGCCTCCTCACAGCTGGACGTGGTCATCACCAATAGAATGTAAGAGGAGAGATGTGTCTAACTTCCTCATCACTTCCTTAAAAATAAATTGCTTGCCTTGGACTTTCTTTTTTCCTTCTTCCTGAAGGCTAGAAAGGGGACATGGGAGAGATCCATCTTTAACCTGTGGCCTAAGCTAGGGCATGGTGGAGCCTCAAGACGGAAGGACACGGGTCTCTGAGTAGACCTCATGAGCAGAGCAACCCTGTCAGCATTGACCAGGCAGTCAGTTTCATGAGAAGGAAATAAATTACTATTTTAAGTACTGTATTTTTTGTTTCTTCCTCATAGCAGCTTAACTTACCCTGATTAATATGATATTCATGAGAGTGACACAGATGTGAAAATTGGCCCTTTCTCACCTAGAGAACAGGAAGAGCCTGAAGATGTGGGTCACAAGAAACCACCAAGAAAGGGCTGGACCAGGGCACTCCTTAGCGGGAGGCAAACTCAGAGGGGCCACAGAAGTGGAGGACTCTGTGGGGCCAGCCAGCAGGTAGGATAAGGGGTTCTTTCATCTAGATAGGTGCAAGAGGAAGATCCAAGAGAGATACTCTGTGTACTTAAAAATTTTGGTGGGACCAATCAGTTACAATAATTCACAGAAAGGTAGTAAGAAGGGTAGAAATGGAGAAGAGGCAGATTAGAAGGGAAAGTGAGGGTAGAAACTGATGAGAGATTACATTATGGTATTTAAAAAGAAAAGAAGATCCAAAAACAATTCAAAGCATGAGAGGCTAGGTGACCATGCATCATAAAACTGTGACAGTAACAGTAACTTAGAGTGAGCTGTTGGCTACCAGAACAGGACACCAAACTTGATCTTTCCCATGTTAATTTTAAGTTGTGGTAGTACATTCAAGTGTGTGTGTCCCCACACAGATTAAGATATATGATGGAGTGTTTGGAAAAAAAAAAAGAAGGTAGAGAGATCAGGTTGGAGACGTAGAACATTACCACCCACATGGAAAGGGTAATGGTTGAAAATGCTGTTTAAAGAAATAGCCACACTTTTGGTTCTGTTACATTTTAAGCTTAAATATTACATCTTTCAATATCCATCTTGATAAAAGTAGCCTCTGGTAGCAGCTTTCTAATCATTATATTCAGCATTCTCTCTTTTCACCTCTAAACTTGTTCAGAGGTCTCTCCTTGAACTTCTTCATTGTTATTTTGATGTTCAGCTTTCTGGAGAAGCCTGGGGCCCAGCAAACCAATGAGGAGACTTCCAACTGGGGCTGTGATGAGGATGGACAAAAATGCCACTGTCAACACATCCATTCCGTATTCTTCTAACTGTTTCTCTCCATGTGACCTCGCTGTGTCCAAAGCCACAGATCCTATTGCAGCCTATGAAAGTTTAATGGTAAAGTTGGACACATGATAAGACAAGCACATAGAAAAGAGGTGAATTATTTTATCATTTGCAAAAACAAATTGCTTCTTCTTTTGTTCAAATAAGAAAGTCCTTGCTTTCAAAGTCTACTGCAGTTGATTTTGGTATTCTGAAAACTCTCCTACTCTTGCACAGGGAAGGGATGGTGATTCATATGTACCTAGTTGCAGAAGGCAGGGTAACAAATATCAGGCAAATATATTTCAAAACACAAGGCAAATACAGCCTCATGATATAATTAACTATAACATGATTCTGTATACTAAATTCCGCATGAGTAAAGTTACTGGTCATCTCATTCTTTTGTCTTTAGGAACTTGGAATTAAGGAGGGACAAGATAAAAAAAATGCAGTGATACTTACTAGAAGATGGTGAGGTTTTTTTTGTTTTTTTTTTTTAATTTTTTTTTATTTTTTTTTTTTCCCCCCAAAGCCCCAGTAGATAGTTGTATGTCATAGCTGCACATCCTTCTAGTTGCTGTATGTGGGACACGGCCTCAGCATGGCCGGACAAGCGGCGCGTCGGTGCGCGCCCGGGATCCAAACCCGGGCCGCCAGCAGCAGAGCGTGCGCACTTAACCGCTAAGCCACGGGGCCGGCCCAATGGTGAGGTTTTAAATGAACAACCATAAGTATATGTATTGCTTTAGAGCCTAAACTAATTGTTAAACATCAAGAAACGTGAAAGTGGTACACACCTTCAAAACTCGAAGTTGACTTATTAGGTATTTGGTCAACTCTTTGCCTTAAGTCTTGGTGAAATGTTTTATTTAAAATTTATTTACTGGGAAGTATTATGAAAACTGTCATTTTCTTTTAGAGGCAAAATGCAATATTATCAGTGCACATGGGAAAATGTATTAATCAATCTGGTTATTCCCTTATTCCACAGAACACAACAATGTTACCCTCTAGGACAATGAAACAGAAGAAAGAAAGTCAGTGTGGATGAGACACAATGGCAGAGACTACTAATTGCCCACCGATATCTGAATGGCCCTTTTCCCTTCTATACTAGAACTCCTGAGTTTTAGCTGGTCACATTGTTGTCCAAACAGACATTTTTTTCAGCCTTCTTTGCAACTAGAAGAAGCTACGTATCTAAGTTCTGGCCATTAAGAGGTGAGTGAAAGTGATAAATGCTACTTGTTGATTATTCCCTGAAGAGAAATGGACACTTGCACATCATTCTTTTTCCCGTTCCCCCTGAATGAGAAATGGTGAAAGTTGGACTCATGGATGGAAGGCAAATGCTGAGGATAGCATCACCCTGCCACCTCTGGAATGCCCACGCTGGACTGTTGGTGGGAGAGAAATAAATATCTATCTCATTTAGTCCCTGTATTCGAGGGCTCTTTGTTATCCAGGTTACCTTGTAGCATAACTAATTCAACATTTCATGAATTCTTGGCAAGAACTGCACACATTACGATGTATATTTCTCTTTCAGTTCTCTGTTGTGTGTGTAATGTGTATGTGTCTGTATGTTTCGGGGTTTGTATGTATGCTGAGTTGTGATTTTAAATATATTTCTTACAGTAGATCATAGACAAAAAAGTTTGAAGAACACTAATATGGAAAAACTGCATAACAAGAAAGTCTTGTTTCTTATGCAGTGGCAAAAGAAGAAAAAAGAAAATTCTATACAGTACTTACCTCACAGAACATACATTATTCAACACATCTTAGGTAATTTCTCCTTATTTTAAATTTGCTTTGATAGCAGGAAAGTGCCATCTTTCAAATTTTAACCTTTAGAAACAAATCTTTCATACCAAAGCTACTAGAGTAATTATTTTGATATTTACCTACTAAAGTTATCAGAAGTAGTGTAGAAGCTGGAGACACTGTGAGGGCGAAACTATCCCCCACTTATTGCACCATATTAACCTCACAGTATTCTTAGCCATTATGTCCCAGACATCTCTCAAAGTCTGATGGAAAAAAAACTTCTCTGGGATAATTCCCAAGCCCACAGCCACACCAAATCTGGCATATAGTTACAGAGCGTACACATCCCTCAAAGCTTCCTAAATTAAAAACATCTGATTTTTATTTCATGAAATAGAAATTTACATATTTAAATAACTACAAGATAATCAAGGATGGAACAGTTAAATCTCATTTGTTATAATTAGTCTGAAAATATACAATACGATTAGGGGTATTTATAACAAATGATAATCTATACAGTTCTAATTTAATTAGCAATTACAGGTCCTCTACGAAATATTTCGTCGATAACTTCAAGCACCTGTGAGTGCCTTGTCCATTAGCACACAGATTTGGGTCATGTGATTGAGATAACTGACAGGAAGTTCAGCTAGTTTGAAAAATGTAATATTAACTAATAATCTAGGAAATCAATAAAGCATTTTCTGAGTTGTTTTTCAATAAATCTTTCTCCATTATATATAAAGACTGTGGTCAAGCATAACTGATCATAAATCATATTGACACTGAAGTATTTACAAATACTAAAATGGGCCATGCTATTTCTTTTTTTTTTTTTTTTGTGAGGAAGATCAGCCCTGAGCTAACATCCATGCTAATCCTCCTCTTTTTGCTGAGGAAGACTGGCTCTGAGCTAACATCCACTGCCAATCCTCCTCCTTTTGTTCCCCAAAGCACCAGTAGATAGTTGTATGTCATAGTTGCACATCCTTCTAGTTGCTGTATGTGGGATGTGGCCTCACCACGGCCGGAGAAGCAGTGCGTCGGTGTGCGCCCGGGGTTCCAAACCCGGGGCGCCAGGAGTGGAGCGCGTGCACTTAACCACTAAGCCACGGGGCCAGCCCAGCCATGCTATTTCTGTTTCACTCTCTTCTTAGAAGACATTAAAATGAAAAGAGTTAATAACTCTCTACTCTCTCTCTGGGTGATTTAGAGAGCTGTGACTGATAGAAATTGAAACTCCTCCCTCCTGCTACTACTGCTTTTCCGTAGTGTAGGGATTTATTGGATTTTTAGTTGTACCCTCATGATCTAAAGAAATTTAAATGAGCTGTCATATTTAAGGAATCGGTATACCAAAAACAAAACTTTTAAAGAGTAGATATAGTATAAATTCTTTTCATAAATCAAACTTAATTACTTATTTTCACCAAATTTGAACAAGCCCTCTTATTCAAAATTTTAAGGGATCATATTGAAATAGGAGTTAGGATCCATTGTTACCTGGACTGTAGCCTTCGGAAGCCATGCAAAAGAAATAAATATCTTTTCCTTTATGTTAAAACCAGCAAAACACACCATCAGAAATGTAGTCAAAATTCGTATCAGTACTGCAATGCCCAGGGTGGCAACACAAAGGCCTGTAAGAAATACTCAATTTTTAGACATAATGGAATACTGGGGAAGAAATGGAATCTCATGATTATTGATTCACAATTCTATCAAGAGAAATAATCTAAAAACATTAAAAAATTAAAAAGACAAAAACGGTTAGGCACAATCTGTCGAAACATCAATATTAAGGAGCAATCAGACCGTTTGTTTAAAAGAAGGTGTTTGCTCTAGATTAAAACCAGAAATTAATTAAATATATTTGCATTTCTGCAAAGGAGATTTGAATGTTATTTCTCTTATGCTTTACAGCAAGAACCACACTTTCCTCCATATGCTTAATCAGAATTTATTAAATTATAACTAAGCATAACAGGATTTGGACCATGTAGTGGTATACAAAAATGTATAATGTACACACTTTGCCTCTATGAACTTCAAAGTCAGAGGGAGACAGAAACATAAACAACTAAAAGGTAACTGCAGTATAAACACACAGGTAAGAGGGCATAGAAAAGGAAAAACTTAATATTTTCATCAAAGTGGTTGAGAATTCTTTCGAGCATAAGACCAGAGGTGATATTCAAAGTATTTATCAGCCAGTTTGGAGGCAATCGGGCAATCAGAACAGAGCTGGCTGGGCACTGACCACCCAGAACAGACACTGGCAGTCTACTCTGCTCACCATGCTGGTGTGCACACTGACTGCCCACTGGCCCCGGCCGACACGTGCAGCTACTGCATCCAGCCCTGCAGAATCCTTCACTGATGGAGATAAGTTCACTCTGACTTGCAAAATAAGAGTGTGACTAGGGCAATGCAGGCTACTGGACCTGAGAAAGGCACAGCTAAGATGGCCACTAGGTAATAGGGTAGTTTTTGAAAAAGTAACATTTGTTGAGTGCTTACTCTGTGCCAGTACTTCTGTGCCAGAAATACTGTATTTCTTACAGTATTCTACTGTATTTCTTACAGTAAAGCTTTAAACACATTACTTTACTTAATCCTTACAACCTGTGGGGTAATTATTCTCACTTTACAGTTGAAAAAAAAACGAAGTTCAGAAAGGATAAATAACTTTCTCAAGTTCAAAAGTCTGGTAAAACACCAGACAGACATTGCTGGAGGCTCTATTGTGAATCTGCAATATGGTTTCTTTATGGAAAAGTTCTGTGGCTCTTTGTTGGAGGGTATTTCTCCCAGGTTGGTAGATTTTCAAAAGTATTTGTTGCCTGAAGTACAAAATACAAAAGAGATGATGCCATTCCCAGGAGGGAACACTGAAGGTTTGGGGAGAAGATGATGAGGAAGTTTTAGACACTGAGTCTGAAGTTCTGTGGGATTTACAAGTGGTGATGTCCCATCAGCGACTGGATATACTGATTTAGAGATACAGATTTTGGAATTACATAGTTTATAAGTATTCCGCACTGAGTGCAGAAGAGGTCAGGGAAATGAAACAGAGTGAAGCATAGAAGGCTTTTGAAAGAACTTGAGGAAGAGCAGCGTTTAAGCCCTGTATAGTGTGAAGGAGGACTCAACGGGCACTGGAAAACGTAAAAATTCACTGTAAAAAGTGTTTTAAAGAGGTCAATAGCATCAAATGCTGCTGAGCGATAGAATAAAACAAAGACTGATAAGTATTTAGCAATATAACATTGGTGAGAGCAGGGTCAGTTGTGCGATTGGCAGAATGAGAGCTGAAATGGAAAAGGGGGAAACAATTACCTCTTTAGAAATGTTTGAAAAAAGGAAGAGAGAGAGAGAGTGGTAGGTGAGGGGGGAAATGAAATGGAGAAAGGATATGTATATATATATTTATTTAAATTTTGATTGTGGTAAAATACACATAAAATTTACCATCTTAATTTTTAAGTGTACAGTTCAGTAGCATTAAGTTAAACATTCACATTTTTGAACCAATCTCCAGAACATTTTCATCTTGCAAAACTGAAACCCTATACCCATTAAACAGCAAGTCCCCATTTGCCCAGCCCAAAGCCCTGGCACCACCATTTTCCTCTCTGTCTTTATGAATTTGACTACACTGGATACCTCATATAAGTGGAATCATACAGTATTTGTCTTTTTTGTAACTGGCTTAGTTTACCTAGTGTAATGTCCTCCAGGTTCACCCATGTTGTCGTATGTATCAGAATGGAAAGATATTATTTTAACTTAGGAGAGATTAAAATATGTTTAAATTCTGAAGAAGAGAAAACTGTGACAAGGATATCTGAAGATGTATGAGAAAAGGGAAGGAATCTATGTGTGAGATCTAGAAGGAGGTGGCAGGGAATGGGATCCCTAGTATGGACGGAAAACTACTGTGATGCAAGGAAAGAAGGAAATGGTGAGTACAGATCTTCCTCGATGTACGATGGGGTTACATCCTGATAAACCGATCATAAGTGGAAAATGCATTTAATATGCCTAACCTACCAAACATCCTAGCTTAGCCTAGCCTCCCTTCAACGTGCTCAGAACACTTACATTAGCCTACAGTTGGGCAAAATCATCTAACACAAAGCCTATTTGATTATAAAGTGTTGAATATCTCATGTAATTTCTTGAATATGTACTCAAAGTGAGAAACAGAATGGCTGTCTGGGTACAGAATGGTTGTAAGCCTATGGGTTGTTTAGCCTCGTGAATGCATGGTGACTGGGAGCTGCGGCTGCTGCTGCTGCCCAGCATCTCTAGAGAGGATCCCACCACATATCGGTAGCCCAGGAACAGATCAAAATTCAAAATTCGAAGTATGGTTTCTACCGAATGCGCATCACTTTCATACCACGGTAAAGTCAAAAAATCCTAAGTCAAACCATCGTCAGTCAGGGACCGTCTGTTTATGCGTGCAAATTAATTTTTAAGTGAGGTACTACGAGTCAAGAGTTTTAACATGATGGCTTGGAAATGTATGAATGAATAAAAGAATGAATGAAAAAACATTTCTATTCCATGGATACATATTATAGAACTGACTAGTAATCTTTCAAATTCTGGCCCTTGATCAGGACAAGGCTAGAGGAACATTCTTATCCTTGGAAAAAAATTTTAAGGCCTGCATTTTCTTGATAGTAGTTAGCAGTGTCATTTTCTTTACAAGGAACAATATTAAAGGCATAAAACTTACTGTCTTCCATTGACAAACTATTTCTAACCAACTATTTAACGGACTTAGATCATTATTAACTTTTTATATAATTGTGACAGTTGGAACCACTGAATATAAACCTACTAAAGATATTTCAACTGAATATAAAAAGAGTTGATTTCAGCAAAAGTACTACTTTGAAATTCTTACCTACAGTTTCTGGTCTGAGAGATATGATAGATACCTCTGCTCCAATCAGTCCAAAGAGAAGGGGCTGGAAGATGTCCCAGGCAACTGCAATAATCTTTTCAACCTCTGCCTGAAAGAAACACACAAACACACACATGGATTTTTATTACGTGAAGTTAGAAGTTCTAAGAATTTTACTAATTTTAAATTTGAGCCAATTTGACCTGAGATAGGCTTTATCTCTGTGGCATCTGTAAATAAGAAATTAGCTAGAATACAGCAAAAAATCACATAAAGATACTTCTAAAACAGTTAAGGTATTATATGAGGTGCTTTGGTGTTGGTTTGCAAAAGGATGTTAATTATAAAGAGTCTTATAAAGTAATCTCAGGAGGACTTCTACTTCTGAATACATGATGTGTGTATGTGTACATACTATAATACTTAGTGTTATCTCACAGTTTAAAATTTTATGTTAATTTTCATTCAACGATATGATTTAAAGATCTTGTAATATTTGTACATATATCTAGATATGTACCTCATTATTGCTGCATAGTAATCTATGATATGGAAGCACCATAGTTTATTCAATCATTTCTTTATTGATGGACCTTTAAATTGTTACCAATTTTATCTTTATAAAAAATACTCTTTATGATTATCTCAAATCATGCACAAAAACAAAATACAGGTACAGTGAAGTGCTGTGCCAGTTATTAACGTATTACCCAGTGGCTCCAAATCCTTCTTTCATCGTTGCTCTGCAGAAAATGGAGCTGGACCCTTTAAACCTTTCTCCTTTGCTAGCTGGACCATATTAAATTTTGTCACTAGAGGGCATTGAAGAGATATTGCAAGAGGGAGGCGCTCTTCCAGATTTCTGTGGCTCCTACTAGAGGATCCTTCAGCAACAGGCTTGTGGCGCTCAGGTGGCTGCTCCAGCGCCAGGCTCCTAGAGTGCACGGCGGCCAGCAGCACCCAGGTGGCTGCTCCAGCGCCAGGCTCCTAGAGTGCATCATGGCCAGCAGCACTCAAGTAGTCAGAAGCTTCCCCAGCCTACTCCTGGGGTGATTTCACAGCCAACTCCCTTGGGCAACATACCTCCTCATGTACCCCAGAGAGTGGATTTCCTGCAAGTTTGTAGAGTAGATTTCCAGCAAATTCTGCAGGCAGGGCACCACGGTAACTTCTCTGGCATCCAGTGAACCAAGGCTCTAACAAAGTCTGGAGCCCTGGGGGTAGGAGCAGGCGGGGTGGGGAGGTGGAAGGGGATGCTCCATCTCAGTCCTAGGGGTTTATAGCTGCTATTCCGATATTCTTTACGGGCCTCTTTACATCTTACAAGACAACCCCTTGATATCTGATCCCCAGTATGGTTAATAATAAACTTTCCCTATTCCAGTGAGTATATGATTTCTTTTTCCTTATAAGACCCTAATTGATAAGTACTAGCTTTATAACACATAATACAAAAACCCTAGGAAAAGATTGACACAATTGACTAGAGTAAAGTTAAAATGTTTTGTGGCAAAAGAAACCATAAAAAAAATGATAGGTGACAAACCAGGAGAAAATATCTGTACTATGTGTAACAGAATAAGGAGCAATATCCAATCAATAAGAAAAAGACAGAATCTAATAGAAAAATGGCCAATGCATATGCATAAGTAATTCATACAAGAAGAAACACAAATGGCCAAAACACATAAGATACTAAAACTCAGTAATCAGAGAAACACAAATTAAAATGATATACCATATTTTTTTGTGTGTGGGAGGCCATCACACTGGAAAAATGGAAGTACTCAAAAATATTTCATGTACTCAGAACTCCAATGAAAGCAAAGGCCTAAAGAGTTTTCTCTATCAAATTGTTTTTATTTCTAAACTTTGACAAAGGCCACAATTTTTTTGTTTTGTTTTGTTTTTGTTTTTTTGCTTTTTCCTGAGAAGATCCACCCTGAGCTAACATCTGTTGCCAATTTCCTCTATTTTCTGTGTGAGCCGCCATCACAGCATGGCCACTGCTAGACAAATGGTGTAGGTCTGTGCCCGGGGACTGAACCCAGGCTACCAAAGCGGAGCATGCCAAACTTAACCACTAGGCCACTGGGGCTGGCCTCACAATTTGGTTTTTGATTGTAACATTTTAGACTAATTGAACATCAGACATGGGCTTATATCTTGTAAAACTTAAAAATGGGAGAAGAGCCACAATGTATTTTCTTGTGGCTTTTTCATAACTTCAAAACTAAAATGAATTTGTTTATAAAGAAAATGGAGGGGCTGGCCCTGTGGTGTAGTGGTTAAGTTTGGCATGCTATGCTTTGGCGGCTTGGGTTCATGGGTTCGGATCCCGGGCATGGACTTACACCTCTCATCAGACATGCTGTGCCAGCAACCCACATACAAAATGAGGAAGATTGGCACAGGTGTTAGCTCAAGGCTAATCTTCCCCAAGCAAAAAAAAAAAAAAGAGGGAGATTGACAACAGCTATTAGCTCAGGGCGAACATTACTCAGCGAAAAAAAAGAAGAAAGAAAACGGAGTCTTTGAATAGGCTAAGTATAAAAGAAGATATGAGCTCAGGGAAGACTGTGTTGTCCATTGAAAGTTAAGGCCACTTTACACATCTGTATGCACCATTAGTAAGAACCTTCAAAAATATACATCACCTTCCAGGATGGACAAAAGGGGAAAGTTAAGAGAAATGGAAGTTTCATCATGTGTTAAATATCTACTTACGTTGACACTTCTCTTCTTAGAGAGAAGAACATTTCAAGATGCAGAAGATCCAAAATATATCAAGAAAAACATCTCATAACTATAAAGGTCATCAAAAGAAGCATTGGATTTGAAAATAGATGAAAAATATAGGTAAAAAAGGCTTTAAAAAAGAGAGTGCATTTGAATACAATAATGGCAAGACTGTAAGGAAAACCAAGCAGAAAAGTACAAAATAATGTCGGAAAACTACAGCCACAAAGAAAATTTTATAAAACATTTTAGCTTTTCAAAGCATAACTCAATAACAATATTGCTATAGCACTGAGTTTACACGTGTTTCATTTCCTTTTCCCCACATAAGAATTACAATAATTCTTTAGATATTATTATTTTCCTCAGTTTACACTTGAGGAAACTGAGTATTAGAGATGGTAAGTGACTTGCTTGGGATTACACATCTAGACAGTAGAATCTCTGGGATTGGAATCCCAATTTCCATATATTAAATTTTATGCTCTTTTTATTATGTTTGCTGCTCTAGAGGTAGTTATAGAAATAATTAGCATATTCTGACTGAGCACCGTGCTTTACATAGGACATTTCACTCAATCCTCCACTCTATGAAGTTATTGCTATTATCATTCCCCACTTTAGAGATACAGAAATCGAGAACTGAGAAGGTAGATACCTTGTACATGGTCATAGAACTACTAAGTCGTGGGGCTGAGATTAACCCAGGCAGTCTGAGCGCTCAGACCCTACACTATACTATGGAACAAGGAAGAAAAGCAGCCCAAAACCTGGACTCATTGGTTTGGTGCCTCCAGAAGTAGGAAAGATATGGAGAGTGTCTGCCACATAACTGATTCAATGAAGATTCGTTTTCTTCCCTTGCTTTAGGAAATCATTTTCATCTACTCAAATGGTGTGTTTTCATCCTGGCTCTGCCACTTACTAGCTTGGTGGCCTTAGGCAATCTATCTACTATCTCCAGGCCTTGGCACCCTGATTTGTAAAATGGGCCTAATATGTCCCTCTCAAGGTTACTGTAAAGAATAAATGAGATAACATGTAAGCTTTCACCAGCAAAGAGATGTTTAAGGAAAAAAAACTGTTGAGGAAAGGTCATAATAAGAGATTGATAGATCTGACCATGTGAAAATACAAGATATTTGTGTGTTAAAAATGAACAATAAAAGGCACAAAGGTCTGCTATCATATAGGTAGATGTGTGTGTGTGTGTGTGTGTGTGTATCTTACAGATCAATAATCATTACATTCAACTTCAGAAGATAATGGACAAAAGACCTATCAAAGAAAAAGAAAAAAATACAAGTGTCTAAGTATATGAAAGTGTTCAATTTTATTGTTAATCAAGGAAGCATAAAAGAAAACAAGATATCACTTTTTACTATCAGTAAAGCTAAAGATTAAAAACAATCACATTCTAAGGCAGTGTTTCACAGTGTGGTCCCCAGGCAAGCAGCATCAGCATCACCTGGGAACTGATCAGAAGTGCACATTCTCAGGCCCCACTGTAGTCTAACTAAATCAGAAATTCGGGGGGTGGGGTCCAGAAATCCAATTTAACAAGACTTACAGGTGATGCTGAAGTTTGATAAACACTATTCTAAGCTGATGAGGATGTAATGAGATAGGTACTTCACATATTACTGGTGGAAAAGTAAATGGATACAACCCTAGAAAGCAACCAGTTTGGTAATATGTGTCAAAAACCTAAAAATGTTCACATTATTTGACCCAAAAAATTTAGCATTAGGAATCTGCCCTAAGGAAATGATATTGGATTTTAGCATAATTTAAAATAGCAGAGTCTGGAAATAATCTAAATATATAGCTATAAGAGAATGGTTTAAAAAAGCTCATGGTGCATCCACGTGTGTGTGTGTGTGTGTGTCTGTGTGTCTGTGTGTAGATAAAGAGACATATATAGGAGAGTAACCAGAGGTGAATATGAAAAAAAAAGGCTCCTAGTTCTCTCTCTGGGTTGTGGGATTACATTGACCTTCTATGTAAGCAGCTGGGCTGCAGGCAATTCAGGTAAAGTTATGAGAAATGCAAACAAATAGATGATTTGTTTTGGTTTATAACAGTCTTTTCTATATGACACACATCATAGTTTTTCTGAAGAATCGTGTAATTGGAACCGACCAAAGTTCCCTCCCCTCCTTTGTCATCTGTGCCCAGAGCTAATGTCCACTTGCAGTAGGCATCAGTCTCCCCCTGAATTCCCTGTTGCTAAAACTACTCTTTTATGCTCTATTCCAAATGATATGGCTCCTTTTTACTATTTATCTTTTTATCCTATCATTAATTTAGAGACAATCTTAAATTGCAAAGTTTAGAAGTATGATGTTTTTAATACACTTGGTATGTGTTACTCAAATAGATGTCAAAATATAAAAATGTGCCCTGCACAATGATGCTATTGTTGCATTATGGTTAGCATAAGTCACTTTGGAGTCAGATAAACCTGAGCTTAAATCCCAGTGCCACCTTCTGATTTTGTGACCTTAGACATGTTATTTAAGTCTTTCTGACTTATAGTCTCTATAAAATGTAAATGGTTAATACTTTTTCAAAGGCTTTTTTTTTGTGAAAATAAATGAGAATATCCACTTAGGGCCTAGCACAAGGCCATAGAGAGTGGCAATAAAAATTTATTAGTTCCCTTCCCTCTTTTCACCCATGACAGTATAATATAATGAGTTGGTTGTAATTTTTGAAGATTTTTAAAGAAGTGACAACAGAAAGCATTTAACTATAAAATTCAATTTGAAGAAACTTACTACAAGCATATTTGAGAATTTTCCTGTTGAATAAATGAAAGGAAATAAACCAAAATATTTAGTTTACAGAGCTGTTGGCCTTAGGTGGAGGAATTACAAATAATTTTTTTCTTTCCCTTTATTTCTGACTTCTAAAAATTTTTTCCAAGTTCTACAATGAGCATATACTGCTTTCATACTCAGAAATCAAACTTTATTCTAAAAAATATTCTTTTTGGTAATTAATTTTTTTAAATGCTAAAAAAAGTTTACCATGAAGAAGGGAAGGGATGGTTTGTAAAATGCTAATGCCAGGCAAACTTCCTAGACGCTGGAGGAGCGTCACAATGCACATGCAGGGGCGTCCCCTCACTAGTGACAACTGTGATCTCTGTCCCGGGGCAAAGGAGTAGATCAGAGTGCTCAAGAGTGAGGCTGGAAGACACACAGCAGTGAGCGCTCAGAGAAGCTGAGGAGGCAGCACAGCCCTGTGTCCTGAGATGAGATCAGACCCAAGACTGACCAGTGATGTGTGATCACCTGCCTCGGCCCGCAAGTAAAGGGAAGCCATGGAGAAACACATGTTTTGACAAAAGCAGCTGTTTATGAGAGATGAGGGATGATAAGAGGACCCAATTTATACTAGGAAGTCTGTTTACATCTGAGCTTTGCTCTTGTCAGATGTGAAGTTACTTGAAATCAGAAAGGAGAATTTAATAATATAGGTGCTGCTAAGAAAAGAAAAAGTAGACCTGAAATAAGCCTTATAGCCAAGCCTCCTGATGACGAGGCAGCACCCCCAGATGCCCAGCTGGCGCCTAGAGCAGGGTTTCAAAGAGACTCTCCTTTCCCTCAAAGCCCAATCCATTTGAGCCTGTTTTCCTGTGGCCTCAACACCCTCCTCTACACAAGGCTCCAGGCAGCCCCACCAATCCATCGTCCTCTAAAGCAAGAGGACTCACAATTGCACTGGTCCTGACTTGATAACCGCACTCTGAGGGAGTGAAAGCCTCCTCCCTGAACACTCTTTGAAATGAAGTGAAATTCTGTCCCACAGATCTCTGCAGAGACCATTTAACAGAATACGTCACATACCTAATCTCAAGACTTATAACCTACACGTAGTTTTCCATATGGTATTATTTTAAGCTTAATTATTTTGAACAGTTGTCTTCGGTTTTCCCAAATGATGTGTCTGCATTTAGTTTAGGTCACCTACACCTAATTTCTTCATGAAACAGAATAGTATATGATCCTGTCAAGTCCAGATCCATAAAAATGTACCTTGAAATTAAAATAAATAAATGGCAACCAGCTAATTTCCATAATACATATAAAAGAAACGAATAATCTTAATGATCTTGAAAATCAGTAAGGAAAAAATCATAAAAAATGGGCACAGGCTTTTGAACAAACTGGCTAATGTATGACAAGATGATTAGCTTCACTTGTAAAGAAATCAAATCAGATCAATAATGAGATACATTTTTCACCTATCAGATTAGCAAAATATCTGAAGATAGAAAATATTCAGATCAGAAAAACAGATCATCTCACATACTGTTGGTGGGAATATAAATTGGTACAGCCATTTAAAAGGGCAAATTGATACTATCAAAAATATCAATGTGCATACTCTTTCATAGAGAAATCCTATTTCTAGAAATTTATCCTATAGATAAACTCAAAGATATGCCATATTTTGTTGATTTTAAGACACATCCTTTTTCACATTTAAACATTTATGAAATTAGGATGTCATGTCATAGTTTCATGGGCAGTATTCTTTTTCTCTCTTGGTAGTGTGTAAAATAATGGTGCTTCTTAGACTTGATAGTGTCTTAGAGTCTATGAAATATTGTATATGTAAGGATATTTTATTGACGCACTTTTTGTCTTAGCAGAAAACTAGAAACAGTTTAAATGTTTGTTAAACTGAATTTAACCAGGAGACTGCATAAATAAAGTACAGTACAGCTATATGATGCAGTACTCTGCAGCCCTTACAAAGAATGAAGAAGGCATCATGGAAATATAATCATGATAGATGTTAAGTAAAGACATAAAGTTATAGATCAGTATGTAAGGGGAAAAAAGGAAGTGAGGGTGTGCATTTGGTCATACATTTGTATATGCATAGAAAATAGATTTTATGATTAAATAATTTTATCAATTTGATATTATGAAAGTACCTGAAAAAAAATTAATCTGATCAGAAAGCAGTCACGAGAAGAAGTTAAAATGAAATTCACCTTTTCGCTGGTCCATCCCACGCCTCAAGGAAAGCCATGACCAGTGTGCACAGTCCTCCTGACCCAGGGAAACCAAAGTACACACTGCTGAACACGGCCAGCACAGAGAGCCCCAGGACAAGGCATGCCCGCTTCCACACAAGTCTGTCCTTGAGGAGGAAAAAGCTGGGTCAGCTCAAGTATTTCCGAGAACTATTTCTAGTTATTGATTTTCACATATTCAGGACTTAGTAGAAAATAACAGTGTCTGTGTCTGTGCACATAAATGCACGACACAACATTTACTTTCTTTCATTAGCAGAAGTAGAGGTAGCACAGGTACAAACGTTAGGTTCCTCTCTCGGGAACACCAGTGAGCCTCCTCTGCAGAATTTCATGGGGCTGAAAGGAATAGCAGAAAAAGGTGCATGAGCTTTGCAGCCAGAGAGATCAGGGTTAAACTGGAGCTCTTTCACACCATTGGCCATGTGGCCACATTACTTAGCCTCTCCACGCTTTGTTTCCTCCTCCCTGAAAGCAGTTACATCACAGGGTTTTTTGAAGCTTAAAGATATGATATCTCTACTATTTTTAGGCTCTCTGTTTACTCTCTAATGTGATGGTCTCCTGGTTTTTCTTTTTATTATTATTTCTTTTTTGGTGAGGAAGATCAGCCCTGAGCTAACATCCGTGCTAATCCTCCTCTTTTTCCTGAGGAAGACCGGCTCTGAGCTAACATCTATTGCCAATCCTCCTCCTTTTTTTTTTTTCCCCCAAAGCCCCAGTAGATAGTTGCATGTCATAGTTGCACATCCTTCTAGTTGCTGTATGTGCAACTATGGCCGGAGAAGCGTGCGTCGGTGCGCACCCGGGATCCAAACCCGGGCCGCCAGTAGCGGAGTGCGCGCACTTAACCAGTAAGCCACGGGCCGGGCCTGGTTTTTCTTTTTAAATCTTTGAATACCAAGAAGCTCTAAGAGACTACAGGCTGAGAGTAGTTTGTTGTTGTTGATTTTTAAACTCTAAGAAATGTGTACTTCTTCCTCTTGACTTTTCCCTGTTCAGCCTTTAAACTTCTCGAGCACTTTGGAAGCCAGCAGGTCCTCAGAGGGGCTTGACCTGGAGGCACGCAGGCTCTGGCGGTGGATGAACTGAGTTCATTCCCGACTCCACTGCCTTCTAGCTACACGGCCTTGTTCAAGTCACCTCTCCCTGAGCCTCAATTTCCTCGGCAGTAAAATGGCCATATAAATAGCACTCTCTTCACGGGTTATTGTGTGGATTGCACCAGATCAGTGCTTCCCAACAGAACATTCAGTGATGATGGAAATTTCTATATCTGTACTGTCTCTGGAAATGTTCTGAATCTGCTATAGCTGCATGTAGCTGCCCTACTGAACACAGTGGTGCTTCACTGAACTTATCACACCGTTTTATATACAGTAAGCAACAAAATGTAAGCCATCATTTTTCTTTTTATTGTATTGTATAATTAGAAAATACTATAATTTTCTTTTATGCATGCATGAAATCTTTTACAGACAATTTTACCTGGAGTTTTTTGGAACACAATAAAAATTCAAATCAACATACATTCTGATAATGGAAATATTAATTTTCTTAATTAAAGCTCTACTTTAATTAAGGTTTGAATTCCATTCAAAATGCTCTGAAATCTCAAAATAATGCCAATTCTTCTAGAAAAGAAAAAATTTTTATATGTTTATCATAAGAGACTAAAAAGGGTAAAGGGAAATAATTAAGAAATCACTGTGTACAGTAAAGAACTTCGATCTCCTTGGTGAGAAATAGACTATATATATATATTTTTTTTTTTGAGGAAGATTGGCCCTGAGCTAACATCATTTGCCAATCTTCCTCCCTCTTTCCTTTTTTTCTCCCCAAAGCCCCAGATTGTATGTCATAGTTGTACATCCTTCTAATTGCTCTATGTGGCATGGCCCCTCAACATGGCTTGATGAGTGGTGTGTAGCTCCGCACCCAGGATCCGAACCAGCGAACCAGGCCACCAAAGTGGAGCACCAAAGTGGCACCGCTATGGCACTAGGTTGGCCCCCAAAATAGACTATATTTTAATAAGATGTTAAAGTCTATCTATTTGATAGTATTAGAATTTAAGGTATTTTGACACTAAAAAAGGGGGCCCAAAAAGCCATTTTATATCTTGATTTGAGTATTAGGAATAATAATAAAATAAAAATTAAAAATAAATTAATTTTAAAAATAAGATTTGCATATTCTACTATTTTGGAATTGATGTTTTACAGTGAAATTTGAAGTATACAGAATATAAATTAGAGAAATAAATTCCAGGACTGCATTAAAATCTTAGACATTTAGCTCTCTTCATAAATCTCATAGACAGCACTGATACAGCAGTAAGCAAATTTAAAATGGGGGGACCATTTTCTAATGTATGTCCTTCACGTGGGCTTTGAGGGGACTGTTCCAGAATGTTTTTCCAATGACATTTTAGTGCACAACTCTCTCACAGATGGTTTCTTTTACCTGGTCACTGCTTGGAAAGTACTGAACAAAAAATCCAACAAGAGACCCAGCTGCCACACCAATTACTACCTCCAGAACGCCTCTGAGGACATTAAAAACCATGGAGCCTTAAAAACACATAAAAAAAATCTTCAGTCAGAACTCTAAATCCGTAAATACACAGGCTTGACTTCAATCATCACATAAAGCATCTAATTACACAGAAGGAAAAGTTTACAAATATTTCCCGCTCTCCACATTCTTAAATATATGTGACTCAAGATGTCTAATAAAATGGGCCTATCTTATGAGAAAGGTATGCATATTATTGGAGATAAATTTCAAAATAGGCATAAACTATGATTTGTGCACTCTTTTGTATGTTGACTTCAAAAAAATTTACTTGAAGGACCTAAGAAAATATGAAAGATAAAATTCATAATTTAGAGCTAATTGGTATGATATACATAGGCTGGGTGAGAAGACAGATCTAGTTTTCAAACAGTCATTTAAGAGCCTGATTTTTAAATTATAAATGTACACTGATTTTCTTAGCTTTGATATGTACAGAATACAGTAACTTAAGAATTTGGCAATTAAAATCAAGAATCTTTTCTTAGTATGATGAGTATAGAGGACTCATTTCTTCTCAAATGTTTATTCTAACAGCAAACCTGAAAACAAATTCTTTTTGAAATTGCTCTTAGAAGAATCTTTATTTGGTACTTAGCTTCTTTGAAATATCATAATACAGAGGTAAATAGAACCTATATTTTCCCCCATAGCATTCAGAACTTAGGAAACTTTAAAAAATCTTTGTTAGCACATTGTGCAGAAAATTATATTAAAGTTGCTCAACACATAAGTCCTTCTTCACACACTGTTCTAAGAAAAAATGTACTAACTAGTTATTGTGGTTTCTTGTTATTGTGTTTTAGAGTACAGAATACGTCACCCCAAATATACCACTTGGGGATAAGAATTATTTTGAGCTGAACACAATTGAGAAGAAACAGATACAAGAAAATCTCCCTGCCCCCACCACTATTTGCCCAAAATCAGGACATAAATTTGTAAAGGTGTCTCCTCCTCTCTCTACCAGGAAGGACCGAAGTTAATCACTGAGACAACTTGGGACCCTTACGGACCCTGATCAGCCCTGAGACAGCATCAGAGGAATTCACATCACAATCCTTGCTAAAACCAGCCCTTATCTACCATTAGTTCCCCAGATATTTGCCTTCCCACAATTTGCTGCTTCTAGAAGCTCAAAGTGCTTTTCCTTTGTCTTATACTTCTCCACAAAATTATTGTTCTTTCCTAACATGCTGAATAAACCCAAATTCTGACCACCCCTTTGAGTTACTCATTACTGAGGGCTTGTGTAAGCATGATGCACATGTTAATAAACTGTTTTTCTCTTGTTAGTCTGTCTCTCATCAGTCTGATTTACAGGGACCCATCCAACGAACCCAAGATGGGCAGAGCGAAATAGTTTTTCCTCCCCTACAGTTTCAATCATCTCCCTTATTTAAAAAAATAAAACTTCTGTAGTAATTTTATTTAGCTAGGACAGCTAGCTAAATTTAGCTAGCTAATATTAACTGTTAGGTAATAGTGTGACTGTCAAAAGCATCTATCTGTGATAATAGCATACTTCACAAGCTATTACAGTAAATAATTTACTACCAATGTGAGAAAGTAGCTAATTACTTTCAGTCTCCTATATAGTAAGGTTGTTTAAAAGAAAAAAAGACTTCTTGGGCCCCACTTCTGAAAATTCTGATGCAGTAAGTCTGGCTGGGCATGGGACCCACATTTTAAAGAGGTTCAGGTAGTTCCCATCCAAATGGTAGAAGGACTACATTTAGTGGGCAGGGTAGAATGTACATAGCATTGTTGAATAGGAAGGTTCTTCAAGCTAGCCACAGCCCCACCCCCAGATTATGAAAACCCCAGTAGATCCTCCCTGTTGCCCTCACTGACCCTGCTCTTCCTCCTCCTCTGTGATTTTAATGCAAACTCTGTTGCTCTAAAGCATGGTTTCCATTCCCAAAGATTATGATTTAATTGGTCTAAGGTAGGGCCCACATATGAGTATTTTTTAAAACTCCCCAGGTAATTCTAGTGGGCAGCTGAGGCTGAGAACCATTGTTTTAAAGGTGTATACCAGGAAAGCAGTGAGAACATATCATTGGACAGGTACAGTAGAGCTAAAATAGAGACGAGTGTGGATTTGACCTAACAGGTAATAGAGAATCCTCATTGTTCTTGAACCAGAAAGTAACATTATAAAAACAATGCTTTGAGAAGATTAATTTACCAGTGATACATGGCAGGGACTAGATGTAAGGCGACTTTGGGGTCATGGGAAGAGGTGAGATTCTAGGTAATCGGCATTAATCATAAAATGGGAAGATAACCATGGGGCGGAGAGACTGAGAATGCATGACTTTCTAAGAAGGTGTTCCCATTAAATAATCTGAAGCTAAACTCAGGCTACAATTATATTTTGTCAATAATAGGAAATTGCAAATCCTATTTGCAAATTTGCAAATCCTATTGCAAAATCTTCCAATCTTGAAAACAGATTAAAAGTGAACTTAAACATGCGCTATGCCAAAGGTGTTGAATAACAGTAGGGAAAAAATGCCTTAAGTTCCTCTGTTATTATTACTTAAAACAAAATACGTCTGTATCAGACAATTATTAAGTATTAATAAGATACCCATTAAAATCCTTGCTGTTATTACCCATAAAATGTTAAAGATGAGAGAACAGAAATTGTTCCTTCCACTTGGACTGCTCTGTCATTTGTGCTCATTGAAAAACCTGCTCATCCCTTGTGTGAAGTCTCCCAGGGTGGGCTTTCCCAGAGGGCTCCATGCAGAAGCTATTCTCGTCCTTCTCTCAGCTCTGCTGTCTTGAGTCCCTGTTGTGCACCGACCACAGTATTGGAGCACTCGAGGTCTAGGGGGTGACGGGAGCAAAGACAGGAAGCCACCGGATCCTCTTAGGTACAGAACTAACTCTTGGAGTTGCTTTCTCTATTTTAATTTGCCGTAATCAATTATCAAGCAAGCGCGACTCTTACAGCATCGTAACCCATGTCCCTAGAGCATCAGAGAACAGCACGTGTGAACTGGCCAGATTACCTGTGGAAAAGGCCGTGCCCAAGCATGTGTTGAAGCCAGTGATGGCCAGAATGTCGTCAAAGCTGCCAGCAGCCATGAGTAAGGTTGGGACACCTTTTTCAACACCATAGCCTCCTTCCTGCAAAAGGAGCATTGAAGGCACCACGACAGCTGGAGATACAGCACCTAAGACAAAACTAAGCAGGCAGCACTTTCAATATTTATGACAGCATCTTACTCATTATTACTATTATTATTGAAATTATAATAACCTCTACTCTTTTAGAGGCTACACTTTAGACAATTACAGTCTTTCAGGGGCAAAGAAGTCCCAAACCAGAAACACATGCACACATCCAAGTTCTACAGAGCACTTCTTCATAGTGTGGCCAGGGACAACTTGCATCAAGACTACACAGGTTGTCTGAAATTCGTGTTTATGGGTGGTATGGAAGACTTAATGGGGTTGGGCCCCAGGAATCCACCTTTTCTCTAAACAAAACATTCATGGCAGGAGGTTTGAAAAACACAGCCATGCACTTTCTGGATTGGAATCCAGTGATGCAAGGCATTCTATCGGGACTTAGCATGTAAAATCAGACAACAGATTAGAAGGGCAAGGCCATAGTGACAGTGACAGTGACACTGATAGTGGCAGCAGTAGGAGAGCAGAAAGCATTTATGAAGCTCACTATGTGCCTAAAACCATTTTAAGCACTTTACATATACTAACTAATTTAATCCTCACAACAACCCCATGAGGTAGCTACAATCATTATCTTCATTTTGCAAATGAGGAAATGGAGGCACAGAGAGATTAAGTAACTTGCCAAAGATCACATACTGGAAAGTCACAGAGCAAGAATTTGAATCCAGGCAGTATAGCTCCAGAGTCTTAACCATGAGAAGTAAGAATTTCTTACTTCTCACCTACTTATTAGCACTCAATTCTTACTAAGCACTTTCATATTTATTTAATTCTCATGGCTCTTAACCGTTAGAAGTAAGAACTGACAGCAGAAGGAAGAGAGAGCAGAACCACGTAATCACAACAGCCTGGTGACAGGAGGAGGAGGAGAACAGTGCTAGGTGCTGATCACTGCTGAGTACTCATTATCCTTTGTACAGACTTTGAGGGGAGATCCGGCATGTCTCTCACCAGCATGGAATCAAGCCTAGGTAAAAGTCCATTACTTCCTCAATAGTTTAAATTATTATAATCACCATAAAAGTTAGCACCTACAAAGACATATCCTATGTTTTGAAATTATAATATTTATATGCTAGTATATTAATAGTTATAATATTATGCTGGAATATCTATGTTGTATTTTCTGATGTCTTTAAGGAAATGCTATTATGCATTCTGTTGTATAGAATCAGAGAAAGTCCTAAATGTCCGTGCATATTTTCACACAACAAAGAAAAATCATTACCCCAGTATAAATCCCCATTGCCATGGTAAACCCATTAGGAAGTGGGCAAGAAGGGCAGATGAGCATGCCTCCACAAGACAGGGACCCATGGATAATCTTACACAGACTCCCTTCAACTTCCTCAGGGCCTGAAATATAAAAACAGACACACTAAATAACCCTCTAAAGACACGCAGAGAAAAAGACATTAAACGCTTTTTCTTCACTATTCAGACCATGTCTGGATCATCCATCATGAATTTTCCAGGTAATGAGTTTTTTTTTTTTTTTTAATTAATTAATTAATTTTTTTCCCCCAAAGCCCCAGTAGACAGTTGTATGTCATAGCTGCACATCCTTCTAGTTGCTGTATGTGGGACGTGGCCTCAGCATGGCCGGAGAAGCAGTGCGTCGGTGCGCACCCGGGATCCAAACCCGGGCCGCCAGCAGCGGAGCGCGCGGACTTAACCGCTAAGCCACGGGGCCGGCCCTCCAGGTAATGAGTTTTATTTAACAAACATTTCAGTGTTCCAAGCGTTTTAGAGTTGGGTTATTAGTCCTCATAGCAACTCTATGGCATAGGTGATAATATTATCACTATTTCTTTAGATGTCCTCACCTAAAAAGGCACGAATTAAAGTCATTTGCCCAAGATCATGAAACTGGTGAGTTGTGGAGCTAGGTTTGAACCCAGGCAGGTTGATTCCAGAGTCTGTGCTCATAATCTCCATGCTAGCTGATTTAACCCTCTCGGTGTTAGCCTGATGTATAATTTTTGGCCGTGGAATGAACCTAAGGTAAAGACCATCCCCAAGAACATTCATTCCTGCATTCAAAAGCATACATGAAAAAACCATACTTGCGACTCATTCTATATGCTAGGCAGTTTCCTGAGCCAGCATGATTAGCCCTAAACACTTGAATAGGGCTTTGTACACCAAAAATATGATGTCTTCTCACTCGCGACCATTATTTATAACTATGGCCTATATCTCTGTCAGAGAAAAGGGGAGCCTTTATTCCTGGTGCTGTCCCCAGACAGACAGTAACTCCACCTTTCTCCAAGAAAGAGTATGGGAACATCTTTTGGGGATAGTCCTGCATGAAATAAATCCCGCTCTCTTCTTGAGAACGCTGTGCCAAGTGTCCTAAAAGCTCAGTGACTGTAAATACTTGCAGTATTGGAGGAACAAGATTCCTAGTCAATAAGTAGAAATTTACACTGCAATACCTGTGGATCAAGCCCAAGGCCAGCACGAACCAATATGATGGACAGCGCTATGCTCCTCAAAGTGGAAGACCACTTGTGCTTGATCTGCACGTTATCACTGATGACAGGGATATTTCTGATGAGAAATCCAGCAAGCAGCATGCCTCGAATGGAGAAGTCAAACAACTCTTTAGTTTTCAAACACAGAAAACATTTTCAGCACTTTAGATGTGGAAGAGACTATCCCAAGATTATAATCCCAGAAACAACTTCTTTTATGCTTAGTCCTTAGATGAAACTATGTCAAACTTTTAAAGAAAAAATTTAAAAATGATAAATTAGAGGAGATAAGGCTTTAATATGCAGATAAAAATGAAAGATTAGAGTAATTAATAATTCCTAAATAACTTAATCTGAAAGGGAGAAACAAGGTGCAGTATTTGGATAGAAAGTGTGATCAAATTCTAAACACAAAATGTTTTAATACAATGCCCAATTCAATCATCGCTTTGTGTGCAAACAGCAGAAAGCTCCTGAAATTATTTACCATGTCAGATTACTTTAAATATCAATGAATACCTATATGGGCTCCATTTTACCTATTTTCAAACCAGATAATTTAATAAAAAAGCACATAACCTGCTTTGCAAAGGCTTAGAAGTGAGTTATAATGACATGGACTCTGCTCTGTCATGTCAGCTGGCGACTGTTCTTTCACTCAGCCATTTGACACTTATCAAGGCCTTCAGAACTCGAGACACCGCAGTAGGTGTTAGAGACATCACAATGACAAAGGCTCAGCACTATCCCTCAGCAAGCTTTCAGCCTCTAGGGGGGAAATCTCAATTTTATGGAAGCATGAGGAGGTGTTATATAAGCTAAGACAAGGAGGAGTGAGTCAGAGGGCCCAAAGAAGGGGAAGGGGGATGAGGAGGGGCTGAGGAAGTGGAGAAGTTTCTGGAAGAGATAACAGTTTCTTCCAAGGTATGAAGAAAAAGTGTGACCCATTCTGGGAACTGCAAGTAGTTGAGTGTGCCTGAGGAAACTGGGTAGTTAGTGAGGGAATTCTGTCCTCATTGATTCCACACGCCCACACAAAGGGAAAGATTTCTTGTTAGAGATTGAGAGGTGTCTATACTCCATTATTCTTCAGCAGAACTCTCTTCTTACCATGTCCTTATAAGCACCATACTTTAAAGGACTAAGCACATTTACTAAAGTTGAGTTGTTTTGTAGGTAAGCTACGAGAATAGAGAGGAGTTACAAGCATAGCTTTTTGTGACTTGTTCCAGACGCTGTCACGCAAGGAAGCATCTCTTCCAGGCATTTCTCATTACTGCCATTGAATCTAGAAGAAGTTATGGATTCTGCAGTCACGGTCTTTCTAGAATTTTTGAAAGTATGAACTAACCTACAATAACAGTTTTTAAAAGAATAATAATGCATATTCAAGGTAAAATTAAATCATTACAGACAATGTAAAGTGACCAGTACATGCCCTACCCCAACTGCAACTTTCCACCTTCATTCCCCTAAGGTTTCCACTGTTAAGGGTCTTCTGTGCCCTTCCAGAAAGTTTCTATGGCTATTAAAGCATGCCTCTCCGTGTGTATGTGTGTGTGTGTGCTCTTTTGCACTGGACACAAATGGGAGCACATGTAAACACCATTGTATAGGGCTGGCCCCGTGGCTTAGCGGTTAAGTGCACGTGCTCCGCTACTGGCGGCCCAGGTTCGGATCCCGGGCACACACCGACGCTCCACTTCTCTGGCCATGCTGAGGCCACGTCCCACATACAACAACTAGAAGGATGTGCAACTATGACATACAACTATCTACTGGGGCTTTGGGGGGCAAAAAAAAAGGGAGGAGGATTGGTGATAGATGTTAGCTCAGAGCTGGTCTTCCTCAGCAAAAAGAGGAGGGTTAGCATGGATGTTAGCTCAGAGCTGGTCTTCCTCAGCAAAAAGAGGAGGGTTAGCATGGATGTTAGCTCAGGGCTGATCTTCCTCACAATAAATAAATAAATAAATAAATACCATTGTATAATCTGTCTTTTTTTCCCACTTAACAACATATCCCAGACATACTCTCATTGAAGCACATAAATATTTGCCTTGTTCTTTTTTAATAGTTGCAATAGTATCTCATTGTTTGGAAGTACCATAATTTTTTTTTTTGTGAGGAAGATTAGCCCTGAGCTAACATCTGATGCCAATCCTCCTCTTTTTTCTGAGGAAGACTGGCCCTGAGCTAACATCTGTGCCCATCTTCCTCTACTTTATATGGGACGCCGCCACAGCATGGCTTGACAAGCGGTGCGTCGGTGCGCGCCCGGGATCCGAACCTGCGAACCCCGGGTCGCTGCCGCGGAGCACGCGCACTTAACCGCTTGCGCCACCGGGCTGGCCCCATGAAGTACCATAATTTTTGGACTAATTAGTGGACTTGAAGGAACTTTTCAAATTTTTCATTACAAAGACTGCTGAAATGAGCAGAGTTCATACGTTGAGTATTTACTAAGTGCTGACTACATGCCAGACCCTTACTCTACCCTGGGAATACAGAGGTGAGCTACACCAACATGGTCCTTGTCCATACGGAGCTTACATATTTGTAGGTTTGTGCAAGTATATCCATAGAACAATTCCTAGCAGTGGGAATTTTAGGCTTCAGGGTACAAGTGTGTATCATTTTTATAGATATTAATGAATTACCAGTCAAAAATGCTGCACTAACCTTACATTTTATTAATGTCAACAGTTCTCTATTGAAACTTAAAACATGAATCTAAATGAGCCCTAAATTAATTATAGCATATAATTACCTGACATCAAAAGGAATAATAGTCTAACAAGAACTCAAAAATATGTTAAGAGTTTTTTTTTGGAGTTTTAGGGGAGAACGAAGGGGCATATTTTATTCCTGAGATGAAGGTGAAAAAATTTCCCTGGGACACTGTTTCTTTTGCCGATGGTCTGGGTTGACATGGCTACCTGACTGTGTTTGGCAGGTGTCCCCTTCTTGCCTCTGAGCCCACCGGGCGGGGGGCTTTCCCTTGGTTGTGGAGAAAAGAATACCTTCTTTGATAAGGAGTATTCTTCTTAATTTGTATTATGGGAATTTTTTAAAACATGCAAAAATTATCAGGACATGGCCAATCTTATTTCATCTACTATCAAGTTATTTTGAAGCAAATCATTACTGAAAAAATTTCCATCAACCAAGACCATCAGCAAAGGAAACAGTGTCCCAGGAAAATTATATTTTCACATTCATTTCGGGGACAAAAAATGCTCCTTCATCCTCCATCTCTGGCAATTATTTCAATGAACTCTTAAAAATATAGAATAGGCAATCATCACAAATGTCTGTCTCAACAAGTCTTCTTTATGGATTCAGATAATGTTTCAGTTTTAGATACTGGCTCTAATACAATAAGAGCCAGTAAACTTTTTTCTCTGTCACAGCGTAACACTATAGAAAGGGATGGTAAGACATTCATGTATGTGACCTTTAAGAATGATTTCAGTCACCTCAGGAGATTTCATGTGATCACAAAGCCCAAGGCTTTATCATTTTGCAACATGGTGTATTTTGCTTGTTGCAATAACAGGCACAGAGTAGAAAAAAGGATGAGGCATAAAGGGCGTTTTCATGGCATCTAGAACAGTAGGCCTCAACGTAGGTTGCATATTAGAATCACCTGGGGAGCTTTTAAAAATTCTGATGCTCAGGGCTACTCCATACCAATTAGTTCAGAATCTCTGGGGTGGGTCCTAGGCATCAGCTTTTAAAGAAATTCCCCAGATGATTCCTATGTGCAGCCAGGTTTGAAAACTTATGATTTTGCTATGGAAAGTGTGATCTTTGAGCTTATTAGAAATATAGAATCTCAGGCCTCTCCCCAGATCTACTTAATTAGAATCTGCATTTTAACAAGATCCAAGGTCATTCCTCTGGAAAATAAAGTTTGAGAAGCACTGATTTAGATGCAGGGGTCAGCAAACATTTTCTGTAAAATGCTAGACAAGAAACATTGCAGGCTTTGTGGGCCACATGGTCTCTGTTACAACTTCTCAACCCTGCCATTATAGTGCAAAAGCGGCCCAGGACAATATGTAAATGAATGAGCATGGGTGTGTTCCAATAAGATCTTATTTACGAGAAGAGATGGTTTGCCAACCCTTTATCATAGCATACACGCATACTCAGAACCAATTCTTTTTTTTTTTTTTTGGTGAAGAAGATTTCACCCTGAGCTAACATCTGTGCCAATCTTCCCCTATTTTGTATGTGGGTCACTGCCACGGCATGGCTGATGAGTGGTGTAGGTCCACACCCAGGATTGGAACCCACGAACCCAGGCTACTGAAGTGGAGTTTGCTGAACTTAACCACTACGCCATGGGGCCAGCTCAGAAACAACCCATTTTAATAATAATTCGATTACAAAGTTTAGAGAACAAAAAGCATCCATGATAAACAATATGAATTACGTGAAATAACTTAAATTTTACCTAAATTGAAAAATACATTGAGAAACAGTGCAGAGTAAGATGTAAATAATTCCACTTCTTTTTACATTTAGCTTCAACTGCTCATCACAAATTCAAAAGCAAATAATTTTGGTCTATGTTAACCAATCCTGATGGTCCTCACTAATACAATAGAAAAAAAATTTATTTAGGAAATATGTGCAAATATGCACGTGGAAAAAGTACATGGTTTTTAAATAAAACAGTGATTTATAAATCTGTGAGAAATGGACACAAAATGTCTTTTGTGGTATAATGAAAGTGGTACATTGAAATTTCGTAATATGTAATTTTTAAAAGAAACATTAAAGATATAATGCCTAGTTTTAAGACTAATTTTTATGTGTCACATTTGGGCAGTTCTCATGGCTTCTGGAAGAATATTTTTGGCTAATTTTTTTAACAATGATAGTACAATATACCCCATGGTGTGCTTATAAAAGCTTAACAAGTGGCTCTCCAAAAAAAGTATGCAGATTTATATATGTACGTCAGTTTATTATAAATTTCACTGACACAGAGGAGGTGCAGCACGCAGTTTACACATACACTACAATCATCACTCTAAGTTCTGTATAGCCAATTGATTCTCACAGGATGCTTTCATCGCTGAACTCCTGCACCCACAACCATCTACGGTTGCAGTTTACCGTGACTACCATCTGGTTTAGCAAATAAGTCACTCACATCACTGACGAGGGAGTGTAGTGTCACCATGAATGTTGGCTGATATTTTCGTTTATGTCAATGAAGATGAAAACGAAACAATGAAAATATGGAACTTCACTTCAATGAAAAGTCGGAACTTCACTTGTTTGTCAATGATGTGAGCAACTTAAAACATATTAAGCCCTGGTCTGTAGCATTTGCTGATTTCTGGATTACAGATACTTCCATCATGGCTGATGCTAACCTACCAACCTGATGTCACTGAACGTGGAGTTGGGAAGAGATGGGCATTGACACACCATGATATAGTATTTTCATAATCTCAAGAGCAGAGATAAGGGGAAAATGTAGTAAAATAATTAGGAAGTGATCAGTTTTGAGTATTGCTCTTGTGTTTAATTCAAGTTATTTAATTGTAAGTATATATAATTTAATTTTTTCAAATCTCTGTGTTTGACAACTGGCTCATAAAACTCATCAAAATTTAACAATCAGCTTTTAGGTCCAGCACAGCAAATTCAGAAATAGTTTATTCCTTTATTTCCCAAACTACTATTTTAAAAATATGATTTACGCTGAAGAAAACAGGCAGTGTTTGGCACTTACCAAGAAGAGGAGGCAGCGGAGGCAATGTAGGTAACTTAATGAGCCCCAAAAGTTTACCTCCAAAGATGGCACAGTAGAAAAGGATTATAATTCCAAATAAGTTTCCTCCAGGAAGACATTCACTGCCAGTAATTGACCAAACTACAGCCCACAGAAGAACGAGGATGGTAACTGAAATAAATCAGGAAAACTAGTTTCTATCAATAAGTTGTCACATGCAGGTTTTGATATAATCTAAAAGTTTTAAAAAATAAATATTGAATAAACATACAAATGTTTATAACCATGTGTAAGTTTTGAAGAACACCAGTGATATGAACAACTGGGTAATTACCAACCACCTTAAGAAACAGGATATTCCCAGGGCCTTGAATGCACCTACGCGCCCCTCTTAATCCCATCCCCCATCCCCTTTCACATTGCTAGAACTACCACCTTGAATTTTTTTTTTACCATTCCCTTATTTTTCTTTTTAATTTTACCATAAATATATCACTAGTTAATAAAAAGAGAAACAATCACTATCTTTAGCCTCTTCACAGGAACATGAGAATACTTGAAGAATCACACTCCACCATTTTAGTTCTGCCTTGAATTAAACATTATCATTCTTTTTTTTCGATAGGCAATGTTTGTTTAGAATTACTCACATACTACCTTTTTTTTTTTAGGTCATCATTCATTATGGCACTTCAAACCTTTCATCTGAGACAATTATCTTGTTGCCTAAAGTATTTGCTTTAGTAGAGGCATTTCTGTTAGAATGCAAAATATGTTTCCCTGTTTGAAAACCCTGTGTTCTACAAAATTGTTCACTGAAAATAGAAAGACTTATGGGAAAAATAAAGTTGGGGAAGACCACTCAAAACTCAAAACTTGTGACCAAAGCACTGACAACAAGAATCCTAATAAAAGCACAGTTAAATCTCCACTGACATCTGTATCTCACAGTTTCTTCTTTGTGGACTTCAACCCTGGAACCACACTTCCTATTTCAAGATGTAGAATCTTGAGGGCATTTGCTTTAAATAGAGAGCAGTTCCATCAAAATCTGATCCAGATTGTAGCCTTCTTCATCACGCTAATGGCTTTTTGTTTTTGTTGTTGTTTTTTGTAATATATTTTTGTGAGTGCATGAGCAAGACTGGCTCTGAGCTAACATCTGTTGCCAATCCTCCTCTTTTTATTGAGGAAGATTGGCCCTGGGCTAACATCCTTGCCCACCTTCCTCTACTTTATATGGGACGCTGTCACAGGATGGCTTCACAAGCAGTGCGTCAGTCTGCACCTGGGATCTGAACCTGCGAACCCTGGGCCGCCGAAGCAGAGCACGGGAACTTAACTGCTATGCCACCGGGCAGGCCCCTATTCTGGAAAATTCTGTCTTTATTTATTCAAATATTTCCTCTTCCCCATTCTTCTTATTCTTTTTTTCTGGAACTGGGATTAGACAGTCATACTCCTTTCTCCATGTTGCTAACCCTAGTTTTCACATTTTCTATCTTTGTCAGTGTGCACTGCATTCTAGATAATCTCTTCAGCTCCACTTGTTAGTTCACCAGTTCTCTTTTCACTTAATCTACTGCCTCATCTATCCACTGAGTTTTAAATTTCAATTATTATACTACGTCTTTCATTTCTAGAAATTCGACTTGGTCGTTATTAAAATCTGTTCATTTTTTAAAAAATAGTTATTTGTTTTGTACTCAAATTTGCTATCTCCTCTTTAACTTCTTTACAGATATCAAAAATATTTTATATTCTATTTTCTGATATTACACATTTTTGAAATGTGTTTCCTTGTGCATGTTGTGATTTTTTTAAAATTTTTTTGCAACAGTGACCTCTTCCATAGAACTTTATCTTTGGGAATTGTTGAAGCCTTAGGTTGAATAAGAGTTTTCCTAGATAGGATCAGAATTTGCTTCTACCATGTGCTTAGAAGCTTCCACTCTGTGATCACTTTTAGGTATATTTTCAGCTTGAGTTTTTTCTGTGACTTTGGAGCACAGACCAGCATGAAGTACACGTTTTTAGTGGAGACTCTCCCGTCCCCCAGCCAGGACCACAATGGAGACAGGTTGGAGGCCCCATCTGCAACCACCACAGTGGGCTCCAGCTTTGTGCGGGTCAGGGAGAATGATGCCTCCTTTCAGACTTCTCCCACCTGAGCGGGCTCTAGCGTGGCCTCCTACACTCTCATGGTTCTCAGAATGGATCTCAAGTTCACTGGTGTTTGGCAGAAGGCTCCAGGGTGAAAGTCAGCTTGAGTGCATATTTATCGCCCCTACTTACAGTTTATTTTTAGTGTCTGATGATTTCCTGTTTCCTTGACAGAAAAAAGGTACATTCAAAAAGATTAAAATACTGTTTTCATCTTGGCATAAACGAGAGGATTGTTCACTGAACCTTGTCTACCATATTGCTAGAGATCGAATCTAATGTCCCATTTTTTAAATCCTTACAGAATTGTTCCTGATTTTCTAGGCTTGTGATGATATTACAATGAAATAAATAACTTAGAGCCTTCAGTATTTTCCAGTTGGCTATAGGAGCTGAAATTTCTATACAGTATTGGAGGTATAACGGCAAAGTAGGAATTACCAGCTACTAAATTTTACTTTATCATGGCATGAACCCAATTTTATACTAAATCCAGCAAGGTAGTTTTCCACCTCAAGACCACTTTTTTTTTTTTTAAATCTCTAACTTGCTTTTCCTTTCCCATATTCAAAATGCAGTTCTAAATACATAGTAAATGTATATTTATAAGGTTTCTCTAAATCATGTTTAATTAAGTTAATAATTTACTTCTCATTTATGATTTTGGAAAATCATATTTTCACATGTAAGATTTACTTCTTAAGATGAATACTTATGCATACTGAATGGGCACAGGAAGCAGTACAGGAGAAAGCCATCTTGTAAGCCACAGGAACAGAAGTATAGGAATACAAGTGAAGAGGTGTTCATACACTGTGAGTCCTGTTTCTCAGGCAGCTGTATGGACAATGATTATAGAATTTAAAAAAATGAGTCTCCAAATCACATCATTCATTTATACCCTTTCCTATGTCAACCCATATCAGTTTTATTGTAAATGTTTTCACTAGAAATGTGCCATAATTTGAATGGTAAAAGTTTAAAAAAATAATAAAAAGGACAGAAAAGGTATTAAATTATCTGTTGCCTTATCAACCAGTGTATATTTTGGAAACTGGTTTTCTCTATGTGTTTTAAATACAGTTTGATATTTTTTCTCATGCTAGTTTAGAAAATTAATTTCAGTGAAAACCTATCTAGTGCCTAAAGTATAACATATTATACTTGGCTTCCATCGTCCCAGTTGAGAATGGTAAAAATGTCTTTCAGAGCTCACAAATGAATCATAACCATAAAGAAGTGAGTCTGATTTTTGAGTAAATATAACTTCTAAATCAAATGTCTTACATTCTTCAACCTATTTACTTTGGGAGGCCATATATTTACTCCAATGACACTGTCATTCCTCAACACGATTTTGGAAATTGTCTTTAAATTTTCCTTTACAGACATTTTTCAAACCCCTTTTCCTTTTTCCTACTATGCTACACATCCTCCAATATACACAATACACACACATGTACATACACACACAGGTACACACATACACACTTCCTTTTTGTACAAAAAACAGCATTACTGAATCTGAACATCCATTTATTAATCAAATTGATATCAGATTAATGTTTGGCTGCCTCCAAAAACCAAATCCATTCCTAAAAGACAAATATATCCCAACCCTAACAATATTCAAAATAGTGCTGAGATAAATTCCCAAAGAAAAATCCCACAAATGTTTTAAGTAATAGCAGCTCTACAGGAATAAGTTGGATTGCAAACCAGGATCCTTCCTTATAAAATGACGTGACTCATTTGCAAGTGTAGCTGTGTTGGCTTGAACTTTAGTTGCGTTACTTAACAGTAACAACAACCAACATTTATGTAGTGCTTTTCCGTTTACAAGTGATTTCTCAATCACTTTTCTCATTGGAGCCCTAACGTAATCCTGTGAGACTGCTCAGATGCAGAAGAGGAAAGGTTCTTGATCTCTGCTCTTTTCCTCTTCCTGCTAGCTGGAATGGCGGTGACCACAGTGCTCTTGGAAGCCCTCCATGTCGAAGATGGTTAAGCCCCTCAGCCTGGGCCCTGATGACTGTGTGGAGCAGAGACACGTACCATTGTGAATTTTTCACCCAGTAGTTTTTACGTGAGAGAGAAATAAATTTTTTGTCCTTTAAACCATATTATTTGAAATCTTTCACTATATGACAACTTCATCTTTTACCCTCTCTTTCTTAATTCATCCTTACCGTTTACATACCATTTGTTATTACTCTATCCAGTAAACCATGTGGAGGACAGGCAAATGTCTGTCTTAGTCTTTGCAAATGAGTTGATTCAGTTGGTATTTCCTGCAGCCTTTTTTCACTACTATTCAATAGGTTACTTCCTTCTGTTGGTTCATTTCCATCTATGCCTTTGAGGTTCATAACTGTCTCCTGTGTTTAAAGCAATTAAAAAAACACTTAAAACTGTATATTTGCTGTACATTTTTATAGTTATTGAGCCATCACAACACAAATAAAATTCCCATTCCTAGAATCAAAGCTAACACTTTAAAGGCAAAATACACATCTTTATTACTAGCTAATCGGCCCATGCTTGGAACAAGAACTATGTTAGGAGTATTTACCATTGAGTCACTATTGTAGCATTATAAATGCCTGAGTCACATACAATTTCATTATGTTTTGCAATGCTGGGTTTAAAAATTAGCATATTTAAGATATGATTCAAAGCAATAGTTGGTAAATATATCAAAGTGGTTCAGAAAAAAATAACTATCTGTGATGAAAACCAATTCACATTCATTCATCTACTTGAATTTAAGTAATAAAAAGAGACAGGGAAGAAACCAGAACCATTCTAGGCTTGCGGCTGGGAACACAGAGCATTTCACAGGCTCTCCACTTCTCCAGCTTCATGTAGGGCCAGCTGCTGATGACTACTGGGAAAATTGGTAGTCACACCTACTGTATGGGCTTGGGGATTAAGAAAGGGAGAATCGTTAACTGAGTGAACAGAGAACGAAGAGGACATATTGCTATCCTATATTTGGAAGTATACAGTCCTTTCTTTAAGGAAATGGTTGAGATGTTCCACACTTGATCACAGATTTACCTGTGTTTCTTGATCCATAGAGGCTACATGATTCATCTCTGTGGATGGTGCTGAATCTTCACATTCAATTGTCTTATCTTCATCCTCCATGATTTACAATTAAGAGTAAGATGATAGAGGGAAGAGGAACAAGATCTATTTTGAAGGAGAAACAGTATAGATATAGAATAGCAATTTGGGATTTAAATGAATGAATTAAACAGCAATTTGAGCAATTTAAATGAATGAATTGTACTTATTTTTCCACTTGGAACTCTGAATGGCTAAGATATTTTAAATTAGACTATTCTTAACCTTCAATTGCTAATCTTTTCTTTGATTACAATATATTATCCAATTTCTTATCTACCTTTTTACCTCTCTTGAAAAAGCCCTTGTTGACCACCATATTTTCATGAGTTCTTTCCCATCCTGTTTTTTGTGTTATACTTCACGTATTCCAAGGAATATTACTGTTAAATTGTCCTCTGTAATGGGCCAACTTGATGAAGCAGGAAAGCTCCAGGTGATTTTCCAATGTTGAAATGAGGAAATGAGTCACCAAAGAGAAATCTGTGGATTCCATCATTTTCAGAGAAACCAGAGTCACTAATTCTTGCCCATCTCTTATTTCTAAATTAAAGTAAAAAAGAATACAACAACATTGATTGAGTAGTCACAATGTCTTAGACACTGTGATAAGTGCAATGGTAATCTCCTGCTAGTTATTGTGAGTAATTCAAAGATTACCAAAACACATCCTTTGTTCTCTATAGGCTTACAGTATGCCAAGAAAAATAAACTTATACCAAGTAACTAACATATTTGTAGGGCAGACCTAGAGGCTAGCTCCATAAATGCCCATTTCAATCTCTTCTTCCCTGGCTGCCTATGCTATATAGGCTGAAAAGCCAAATATTCCAATTCCTAGCCACATGGCAGCTGAACATGGCCATGTGTCCCAGTTCTATGTAATGACATGTAAGTGGGAGTCCCTGGGGACGGCTTTCATTCTCAAACTATAACGGAAGGCCTTTCGAGAATCATACTGTTTACTCTTTGCTTCTAACACTTCCCTTTCTCCTTCCTAGAATGCAGATAAACTACTTGGGGGCCAGCAGCCCTCTCTCCACCAAGAGAATAAAAAGCCTGATACCAAGGAGAGTAGATAAGTAAGACAGGAGGAGTAGGCTCCTTGATGACATCCTTGAGTTGTTGCATCAGTCTTGGGCTGCCAAGCTTTGAGGCAATGGTTTAAACCACTATTAGTCAAGTTGTCTTTTTACTAGTAACCAAAGTTATTCCTAATGCAACATGTATGATGAATATTATAATAGAGGTACAAACTACAAACCTAGGTAGAACCAAAGAGAAAATTATATAACAGAAGGGAAAATCTAATTCAACACATATCTGAGTGCCTAATATGTGCCAGGCACTATGCTAGGCCATAAAGACCAGGATTAATTAGACAGGACTCCTGTCTCAAGGAATCATTTTCTGTTTAACAAAGTGTCAAGACGTTTGAATTTAAAATTTCAAAGAAAATTATATTCTTTCCACTGTCACCATCAACTACCAACATCAACACCACCACCACCACCATTTTTCTTCCTTAGAAAACACAGTGTTAGCCAGAAAGCTATCTCAAAGAACCTTCAGTTTGATTTTTATTATATATAATAAACACGTATACATAATGACATATTATATATGTGTGTATATATGTATATATAATTTTTTGAATTAAAAAACTTACTCCAAAATTTAGACTCATAATGAGAAAGAACAGCATTTTGACAGGAAAGTGTTGGGCTCAGAGAACCCTTGTATTAAAGGCATAGAGGCATGAAAGCCAGTGCAGTGTGAGGGAAACTCTGCTGGAGCCTGGGGGAGGAGGCTGAGAGTAAAGGGAGAGGAGGCTCAAGATTTGGAATATCACCTCCCAAACCACGGCACTTGGCCTTGACCTTCCGCAGAGAATGAGCCCTAATATCACAGTAAGTGATGAGGTCTGCTGGCTCTGGAGTTGGACAAACCTGGCTCTGAGGTTCAGCTCCATCATATACCAAATTGCTTAGCCTCTTTCTAACTAATCCCTTATCTACAAAATGGGGACAAGGGTGGTTCCAACCCTGCACATGAAAAGATCCAATAGTGTTGGTTATCAGCCACTCATATTCCTTTTCTCTAATTATCGTGAATCTCTAACAATCCTTTTGCTTCTCCTATTAAGCTGAACAAGGTCTCCCCAATCTTGAAGAATTTATTACCTAAGCCCATAGATTTTCTGTGATCACATTTTTTACCTCTTTCTTTCAAGGCCAGCTTCTTGATTAGGTGGATGTAACACTCACCACTGTGATTTCTTCACCTTTCCCTTTAGTAGAATTACATAGAAACTCCTGGGCAGTGCCACTAGAATTACCTCCTTCATCAAATTCTCAAAATCAGCCATTTGTGTAAATTATGAAGAATATTTTTAAGCAGCCAACAAGTATAAATGATTATTTCTAGTAGACACAAACTATTGACTAAAACGAAGCCTTAGAGAATTTATTTTATTAATGTTATTCTTGTCCTTTTTAACATAAATGATCAAAACTTGGCATGCTGCACGGTATGTGCTATTTGTGCAAATATACAGTTGTGTGTTTCAAAAAAATTTCCCTATTCTCCCATAAGCTCCACCATGAATGCCAAACTACTTATTTGAGAGCAGAGAGGTGTTACAAAGGGGAAAGGTAAAATAAAATATCAGTATTTTATTAAGTTCAGTAAAGCAACTTACAACTGGTCAGCTTTGTTCATTCTCTGCTGTTTTCATTTCTAAAAGAACACAAACTATCTGTCTCACTTCAGAAACCACTTAAATTTAGAAAAATCCCCAAAACTTAACTTTTACTTAAAGCAGCCACATTCATTGCATTTACCATTCATAGTCATTGGGTCTTAAAATTACAGTAGTATATCATCTATTAAGAAGGCAGTTTCCCCCAGAGGAAAAATCTGTTCTATCATTGGGGTTTTTCAGTAGCCTACAATTCTGTTCTATCATTGGGGTTTGTCAGCAGCCTACAATTATCAGTAGGATTAGCAAAGAGTCGGGCATGAACCAGATATTCAACAATCTCTCATTATAGAACATATTCTGTAAATGTTTTAAATGAAGAAATGGTTTACTTTATACTTGTAGAGCAAGGGATGTCAGAGATAATCTAGTCTATGGGTAACAAACTCAGATACCTTCAGGGCCAAACTCAATGTGAGGTCTTTGGCACCTGGCGAGGGCAAGCCCAGCTGAAGGCATCAGATCACTGCAGGCCCCTGCGTCTCATCTCATGTCTTCATTCTCATCAAAAGAAACTGAAGAGATTAGGATTAGGTGACTCAGAGGCTACAGAGCAAACATATTAATCAGAGTCAGTGCAGAAAACAGAAACCACTCCAGGTATTTTAAGCAGAGATTATACAGGGAATGGAGTGAATTGTTGAAAGGGCTGGAAGTGGAGGGTCTAGGCTGGGCCTCCAGGACTGACTTCTAGAACACTAGGAACTGAACCACTGGGGAATGTACTATTTTTGCCTCAATTGGGAGACGCCACAGGGACTACAGAGTTCAAGAACAACCCTGTAGCTGTGACTCCGAGAAGCTGGGATCTGGAAGCTGCCTGGACAGAGAACACAGATGTTCCCCACCTCCCTCAACTGCCTCTGGACAGCCACAGAGCTGGTGATTCAACACGACAATGCTGAGTCAGGCTGTCCCTGCTGCTGTAAGGCCCTCCCAACACCCACAGTTCTGGAGACTGGACACTGGCATCTCCTGGACCTTCCTTGTCAACAGAAATTTGCCAAAAACAGCAGGGAGACAGCCTCTGCCTCATCCCTGCCTTCAAAATCTCCAGCAAGTCATCTACTTGCCAGACCCTAATTTTACATTCAGATCTCTAGCTGGAAGGGAGTCTAGGAAATATTTCAGCTTTCCAGTTTTTTTTCCTGTACAAGAAGGCATACGAGAAGCAAGTAGGAATGGATGAGAGGGCCAAATTTCCATATCTAGCACAGCAACTTTTGGTGTAGGCCCCAGGACTCAGACCTACATCATCGACTTTTTCCCACTTATTCTACAATGCCTTCTATGGAAATCCTGAAGAAAAATAAAAATAAAGGCAAAATCTAGTCAATAGGGTTATAATTCTAAAGACCTTAATACACAGGGAAATATACTATGCGATTCAGTCACTTTGCTCACATCATTAGTATTCCATGAATCACACTACCTAATTTCTTGTTAGGCACATTCTGACCCATTGGAGTTTGAGTTACTGAATGGCAGAAACTGTACTTCATTCATATTTGTATCTCCTGCCCCCATGCCTGTGTGGCCCAGAGAAGACACACAGGTATTTGCTGAATTGAAATGTTTCATTCTTGACTTACAGAGAAACAGTAAAGCAGAACTTCAAGAGAGCACTTTGTGGCAGTACTAACCTCAGGTGGAGGCCCCATTAGAGAGACCGAGTGGGGAAAGGGGGTTTTAGTCTTTCAGTGAAAACAGGTTGACTTAGCTAAGTAAGGTACCTGCTCTGTCTCTATCCCCTGGTATTATCGATTTCTTGATGGGAGGCTAAAGAAAATGTGGCTTCTGGCTATTCATCTTTTAGGGCAACAAATCGCACCAGAGTCTAGGGTGAGATAACATGGTGATGTCTGGTAAGCAGTCATGCCTTGTCGCTTGACTATGGGGATTGTTCTGAGAAACGCATCCTCAGGCAATTTCATTGTTGTGCAAACATCAGAGGGTACTGAAGGGGAACACGATTTGTGACCCCAAAATGTGTTTTTTTAACATGAGGGTTATTTTAGGATGATTATTTTTAAGAAAAAAAGACTCAGAGGCTTTTCTTGTTACCTCACCCTTAATTGCCTAAAAGAATTCGGATTAAAGAAACCCGTCCCAGGAAGCAGGCTCTCACCTTAGCATAACATGAACTAGGTGATGGACAGGGAGGAACCTAGAAAAGTCTGTTTGTTGGGCTCCCCTCTGTGTTCCTCTGTTTCTGTGTGGCCAAACACTTGTTTTCCAAACATTTGCTCTTTTTCACCTACCTGTGAATTGCCTGCCTTCCCTTTCAAGTCCCTGACTTTCCCCACCCCCATCTTCTGTCTTTAGCTGAGGACGGTATTTAAGGCGAGCGCCGTGGCCATTTTGGTGAGTTAGTTTTCATGGGTTTCTCCTATGTATACCTCATTAAACCTTTGTTTTTCTCCTGTTAATCTGTCTCATGGCAATTTAATTTTAGACCAGCCAGAAGAACCTAGAAGGGTAGAAGAAATTCTTTTCCTCCCCTACAGTACTTACACAAACCTAGATGGTCTAGCCTACTACACACCTATGCTACACGGTACTAATCTTATGGGGCCTCCTCCTATATGCGGTCTGGCTTGACCTAAACGTCACCGTGCAGCGCAGAGGACTGAAAAAAAAGCCCCAGACTCAGCCTGGCCTTGAGCAGGTGGTCACATTCTCCAGTGAGCAGGGCCTGATGGGTCCAGAACCTCGGCCCACTGTAGCAACAGCCTCGGGTTGCTTTAAGAACTAAAACAAGAAAAACCCACGCCAGCAACAACTAACAACAGTAAACACAGACACAACCCGAGCGCTGCGCCCTCCTCCGGGTCTCTGGCCCGCAAGGCCTACAGGGCCCCCGCCGGGTCTGGTTCCCCTTGTGCTCCCCGGGGGCTCACCTCGCGGCCGCGGCGCAGGCACCCGGCTCTGCTGGCGGGTCGGGGAACAGGCCTGCCGGGCGGCGGCAGCGCGCACACACCCGGCGCCCCGC